GGGCTTGGGGTGTTTTCTCCTGAGAGCTCGGTTCTCCTTGTCTTTGGTTGCAGGTGACCACCTCCATCACTTCAGCAGAGGCCACCAGTGTGGTGGCCTGGCTGGCATCCCATGGCATTCCATCCCAGTCCCCCAGGCTCTCTCTGCCCAGCCTGAGGTCATTGGCCCCATGTCTTCCCACCTCCATGGGTAGTAGGGGCAGCCCCTGTCCTTACTCAGGGTTCTTAGAAGGGGGGTGTCCCAGGAGAGAGACAGGGCTCCCTGGGGTTAAGCGAGGTGAGACCACGTGTCTCCCCTTCATTGCCAGAGCCAGTGGCTTTTGTGCAGCCCTTGGTCACTCCAGGATGGCAGTGAGCTGCTTATCTCTCCCTGGCCCTCACCAGGGCTCCTCACATCTCTGCTCCCAAATGCTTAATCCCATTCCAGGCCTTGGTAGCAGAGTGCTTCCTTTGAGAGGTCTTATGTCCTTCCCCTCTTCCCAACCTGTGCCTGAACCAGTCTTGTCTCCCTCTGCCCCTCTGTCCTCAGCCTTGTTCCTGCCTCCCTGTCAGCCCCAGGACCCTTTTGTTTCTCAATCCAGCCCTCCTCAAGCTCAGAAAAGACACTTTCTCTCTCCAGCATCACTCCTTCCCCCCAAACACTGTGCAAGGTCTGTCTCTTCTCATCCTTCGTTCTTGTCTCCCAGTTCAGCCAACAGCTTCCTCAAAGAGCCCCTGTGTCTCACACCACTACCTCTGACCAGCCACTGCCTCTCAGTCCCTCCCATTTCCTTCACTGGCTTTGGGTTCAGCATCTTCTCCCCCCTGCCAGCAACCCCCCTTCCCCTGGCCTTTACCTCGGGCTCCAAGTCCCAGCTGCCCATCCAGCTCCTGTTTGGCCCAGCCAGATATCCAGAGTCTCAGCAGGCACCTTGTCTTCATCTCTTTCTTTCCTTCCCACTTCCCTGGCTTGGCTTCCTGCTCCACACTGACTTGGTTTCCACCTGGGCTACGTGAAAGTGCAAAAGAAAAAGGCTCTGTGCTTTCCAGCCCCAAGCCCAGCCTCCCGTGGCTCTCAGCACAGAGGGATGCAGGGCTGGCAGGGGTGGTCCTGGCCCCTCTATGTCACGTTGAGCAGGACCGTGGTCACCTGCAGGGCAGGGACAACACATTTCCCCACAGTGTGGGGAGGTCCATGTGTGTTCTTCCCAAGGGTAACCACCTTGACCTCTTCATCACTCAAGGGGGTGACCTGAATGGTGATTTTTTTTTTTTTCTGCCATTCAGACTTTTAAGTTCTCCAAGTGAGGCAGTTGTTGACAAAAAGAGGTCAGAAACTAAGGATCCCCATCCCTTATAGAACATGAAGTCCCTGTTCCAGAAAGGCAGCTCAGAAACTAAGGATCCCCATCCCTTTCAGAACACAAAGTCCCTTTTCCAGAGTGCCCAACAGTTTAGGACAGTTTTGGAAGAGCCCAAAGAGGTCAGGGTAGTGTGTTTTCCCTTAGCTGAAGTGCTAAAAAAAAAACATTGATAGTAAAGTAATTAAATAAAATAGAGCCCAGGGCATATACCTGGTGTGGAACACATCACCCCTAACAAAGTTTTAACTTTGCCCTAACTTCTAAAATCAACAGCAACTGAGAAAGATCTTTCTATGGCAAGTTCTTGACAAAAAAAACCCCAATACTCAGTGGTAGTTTTGATCCTGCCTGTAATGATATTCACGAGCCCTTAGGCACAAATACCCATATAAATACAATTTAAAAAAGTGTTTTTCCTTGATCTGAGAAGATTCAAAGCTAAATTTGATCATGCTGAGGATGCCTTTGGAGGTGTCTCAGCAGGAGTGTGTTGTGGTCAGTCAGCCCAGAGAGGGGAGTGCGGGGGAGCAGCTCTGAGATTTCACCGGGAACTGTCGCCTCCCGTTCAAGTGAAGGTGAACCCAAAGGGTCAGACAATCCCTAAAAAGTGTGACTCTGGGAGGCTTCACCCTGGAAAGCTCTTGTCTCAAAGGGTCTGTGGCAGCTTCAGAAATCAGTGGTCAGAGCAGACTTTGCCATCGGTTTCTCTCAGCGACAAATACGTAAACAAAGCCCTACAGTTTTATTGAACCTGTGCTGTATAACTTAGCCCTGGGCACTCTGTCTTAATGACCTTGCAAGAAGTTGTGGAGTTTTTTTTTAATTTTTTATTAATTTTTCATGATGTAATTGTCATTTGACTTTCTGACAGCTTTTCTTCCCCCTCTCCGTGAGTTACAGTCAATTAAACTGAGTTTTGCTACGGCAAAGTTGATCCAGAAGAAGGTTATTTCCACCCGTGGGTTTGCTTTTCCACCTCTGAAATAGTTTGTAAGTCAGGCAAAAACTGGCCAAACAAAATATCTTCCACAGGTTGTTTTCTAAAGCAGGGATTCACTAACTTTTTCTCTGTTTTCTACTTTGTTGTCTATGGTTCTGTTAAATCTGGCTGGGACTCCCCTGTCTTCGTGCTAGGGCTGATGCCATGAGTTATCATCTCTGTTCTGAGAGCTCCAATCCATCTAAGTGCTCCAAAGATCTGCAGAATTAATTCAAAACCTTCTGTAATCCCTGGTTTCTGGATACCTTCAATCCAGCACATCCCCAATTTGAAGGAGGTTGAAAGCCATGATTTCACTTGGGGCTTTCTGCCACCAACACGTGTGTTAATACTTTTGCTTGTGTGTTCCTGATGCAGGTTAGGAGACTTCTCTAGTCATAAAACAACATATTTGCAAGTTCCAGAGCCAATTTAATATTTTGTCTGATGTTTCATGGGTGATTAAAAGCTTGATTAATCAAACAGGGCATTCATCTGAGGCCCTTAAATTAGGGGCCAGGGCACTGATGGCTCCTCCTCCGGTGAACAGAGAGCGCTGGGGACCTGTGAAGGCAGTGCTACCCACCTCAGAGCCCCAGTGCCCTCTGGCAGTCCCCATCTCCCTCCACTGATTCCAGCTGGGAGACGAGGTTCCTGGTGCAGGCGCCTTGGTTAAAATGCCTTCGGTCAGGTTGGGATGAATCCGGCCCTTTGTACGCCCGTGTGCCGGTGCCAACGCTGTAAATCCTCGCTCAGTGAAGGGCTTCACTTATGCAAGCAAATACTGCCCATTGGGGTCAGCAAGGGAGGACAACTTGTACATTTACTGTGCTTTCAGGAACATTCAAAATGTTGAATAATGCCTATTATTCCTTACAGGAGAGTCACCACCTCGCCGGTGGAAACCGATAGGCCGTTTCTTTGCAAAATATACAGCTGGTTGTGTAATTAGCCAGGGCTTTTAATTACAAAATGTGCCTTTGTTTTATTGCTGGAGAATGCCTCAAAGGGCCAAAGAGATTGTTTGTTTACCCTTCTCTTTGAAATCTTAAATGCGTGACGGAAAAAAAAGCCCAAAGGCCCTGTTTATGTGCTAAATACGGTCCCAAATTAATGGGGATGCCTTGGGGACAAGCACGGGGGAGATAAGGTCTTCGTGAGAGATTTGGGGCTGAATTAGGCAAAAATGACAAATAAACAACCGGCCTTTGGAAAAAAATATGCCCAAAGACAAGAAAATATCAAAATAATCTGGTGGCGCAGGCACCTGGCGGGGTTTGCTATTGACAGCAGCTGAGCCAGATTTTCCTCTTTGGATTTTGGCAAAGAGGTGGGTCCGGTTGTTTGTGCTTGAGTTGGTGAACATGAACCTCTCTCTGTTCCCCCGCCATCAATCTCGAGCTCTTTCCTTCCCGTTGGCCAACTTTCAACAGGAAGGAAGGACGGTGTTTCCATAAAACACGGCGAGGGAGGGATGTTCCTCCAGTGGCAAACACAGGGTTGTCTCTCCTCCTGGGCAAGTGGCTCTCCTGACTCCTGGCTGAGGGCTCAGGCTGCCAGGCAGTGATGGAGAAAGAGAAGAAGGGGAACTGTTGCCTCTTCTGTCTCTGTGTTAGGGCATTGCAGCAACATCACCCCTGATCCAGACCCAGTCCACTCGGCGAAGCCACCAAAGCATTAGTGTCAAATTTGGGATGGCAGAGCGGATTCGTACAAGATCCGCAGGGAATTTTAGGGTGTTGCTGGTCCACAATTAATATTTGCTTAAATGACAACCCCTGGCTTGAAAAATCCTGCTCACCTAAGCCATCAGAAATGTGCAAAGGAGGGGATTGCACCTCTTTGAGTGGCACAGTTCCCTTGGGTAAGGCTACGTTCTGTACAGCAGCTGCTTTAAATGTTTGACTTCGATGTTGTAAAGTTGAGTCTGAGGGGGATTGATCCCAGCAAATTTTAGAAGCTGAAGACAGCCAACCAAGTGAGCAAACTCATCCCTCTTAATTCCTTCTGGAATTAATGGGGAGACAAATAATCCTCCAGGGCTTGATTGTCACAGGTGAAGTTGCCCTCCAAGTACTTTAGGTAGTTAGTGCATATGCAGTGCTTATAAGTGTGGGGTTGACTGGGGCAGGAGGTCGGATGCAGAGCACCTGGAGCACATTTAGCTGGTCTGAAATACAGAAAGAGGGAGCTTTGGTGGTTTGAGAGGATGCAGGGTCTGAGAGATGAGGTTTTGGTCGTGGCTGCACATTGATGAAAAAATGCTTGCTGGTGTCAGTGGGATTTGTTCAGACAATATGACTCCCATCCCTGGTCCTCTAGTTAGTGCAGCTCTTTGTGTCCCAACAGCAAAAAGGATGCAAGAACTCTAAGAAAGCAGATTTCCTCCAGAGAGAAATTTGTGTGTGTGTGTGTGTGTGTGTGCAGTCCCACGTGCTAGTTACAGGACACGCCTGGGAGGAGTGAGAGGTTGTTGACAGGAGATATTTCTCCAGTGGGGTGATCTAGAGGAGGGCCCATCTGCAGTGGTCGGTGCCTGAGCTGAAGGATGACTTGAGTTCCTGAAAGCAGTTTTTTCCCTCCCATCCCTACTGGGATTGAGTTTAATAAGCAATATCCCCTCTCTCCCAGGCCATGCCTTGGACTGGCGATGAACCCGTTGCATTTCCTCCCTTTCAGATCACTCAGCTCAAGATCGAGAACAACCCCTTTGCCAAAGGCTTCCGCGGCAGCGACGACATGGAGCTCCACAGGATGTCCAGGATGCAGAGGTAACTCCTGTCTCCATCGTGGGGACCCTCTCAGGACTGTGAGAACCACCTGGGCTTGGCCTTGTGTGTCACTTTGTGGCTTGGGATAGGCCAGGATAGAGTGGCAGTCCCTTCCCTGGGGTCTGCGTGTGCATTTTACATCGGGTTGTTGAAATACCACCAGGACGTGGGGCCAAAATTCAGGACCTCTCTCCCTCCCTCTCCGAGGTGAATGCCTTCACTGCTGGGTTACAGGTTGTGGGTGTTGTCCTCCTGGCTGCAGGGACCTTGTGTTTCTTTGTGAGATGTCCCCATCCAGAACAACCTCTGGCTTTGTGCTCAACAAACGTCTCTGTGGCTGCAGGTGGGCTTAGACCTGTTTAAAGCAACCAGAGACTTGGAGCAGCTCAGAGAAGCTGTGGCCATCAGGCTATCGTGGAAGAGTTGGGTTTTTTTCCCCAGGTGACAGTGCTTTAAAGACAAAGCTCACAGCCTTGTTTCGGGAGTGTGTTTGGTGAGGATGCTGCACATGCTTCTGGAGATCTTGGTGCAGAGTCCTGTGTTGTGTTGTCACTGCCTTTTGAGGCTCTTTGGCAGCAGGGGAGTGTTTGCCCGGTTGGTTCTGGACGTGCAGAGCAGGAGTGCAGATGTGATGGTTTAAGGCTGAAGGAAGAAAGTGTTGGAAAACATCAGGATCTCCAGGGCCAGGTGGCTGAGGAGACCTTTGCGAATCTCAGTTTTGGATGTGAGCACTTTAGCCTGAAAATCAAGCCTAAATCTCATTTAAAAATCCTGTTCAAAGTCCTCTTCTAAATGTCAGGTCCTGCTGGTAATTAACTCCGTGCCTTTCACTTCACTTTGAACTTTGTCCATGTGTCAAGCTGCTTCCTGGTGCAAATGTTTTGCAGGAACGGTGCCATAGCCATGATTACACCTAGGACAGATGTAGATGCTCAGCATAGCATTTTCCATCCAGGAGGGGAGGAGCGACTCCAGTCCCTTATTCTCTGGCATTGGCAGCGCTGGCTCTTGGTGCAGGGCTGGAGGGACCTGCCCTGTGACCTTCTGATGGGAGGGTTCTTCCCACTGCCCTGCCAGGACCAGCTGTAGGTGGTCACCACAGGCTGGAATGCAGATGTCAGAGTCTCTTCTGGTTGCTGCAGCTGATGACCTGAGCATGGCTCTGCCCAGCCAGGAAAATCGTGCTGTCAGGCAGCAGATAATTCCTGCAATCCCGCAAACACGCCCAGAACCCTCCTCAGATGTACTCCCGTGTACAAACATTTTCAGGCTCAGCCCCAGAAAAGCCAATCTATAACGCATAAAAAAAGGCATCTATAACTCTTAATCTTCTCGACCTAAATCATCTCTGAGGTCTCCTGAATGTGCCCTGTGTTCCCTGCCTGCCCTTTCCAAGGACAAGCACAGATCCTGGCACGATGTGTCAATATTTATTTATTTATGGGCTCGCTACCACTTGAAATAGCTTCCCCCCCACCCTGTGCCAGCCTCCCAGCCCCTGCTGGAACTCGAGTAACGACGTTCCCCCCCTCCCCAGTTTTTTTTTTTTTTTGCTGCTAAACCACCCTTTCATTACGGTGGATGGAAAGATTTGAAGGTTCACATTCACGGCGGGGGTTTTTTTGGAGGAGGTAGAACAGGGGGAGGACTCTTAGGAAGGGCTCTGTGCCATGTGAAGACCGTGGCATCAAGCCACCCTGAGCTCGGGCTAAAAATTGCTTGGCATTTTTACGCAGGCCTGCGGTCGTAGTCGGTGATCCAGCGAACAGAAACACTCGGAATATATAAATATTCCCCCTCAGGCCTGGCAGGGTTGAAAGGGTTAAAATCCACAGCCTTGGCTTTACAGGATAATTTCTGATGTTCACTTCCTTCATAACTTATCCTCTGTCCCTGATAGCATAGAAATGGCTGTGTGCCTTTACAAAGATGTCATTTTTTTTTTTTTTAAGGGAGGGCAGGATAAGATTATTATGGTGAAATAAAGACCCATTCAAGGCTGAAAATATGCGCCCACCTTTGTGGTTTTTTGTGTGTATATATGAATATATGCAAAATTATATATAAAATATATGAAAACATATATAAAATAAGTTATACATAAAAACAAATTGTACATATAAAAAATAGATTGTGTCTATAAGATAAAGAACCATTCAGGATCGAGTATGCTAGAGAACTATGGCCTGCCTTTTGTGGGTTTATATAGGTTTAACATATAAATTCGTATTAAAATGTAATTGAAGGTATATAAAATATATTTTAATATATCAATGTATGTGCATGAAGTTGTTTCCCAGTGATGGACCCACTCCCCAGCTGGCAGGTATAAGTAAGTCTATCTTGTTTTTAGGGGACTGATGTCTACTTATGCCCCTGGAGAATATGATGGGATGTATTTTTAGTGCTATTCCTTCATTATGAAAAAAGTACCTGGAAAAAACACACATTTATAAGAGTGCACTGCTTTTTGCATCAGAAACTGGTGACCTGACATTCATCAGGTCACTGATCATCTCATTAAGGGGTACAGCCATGGAGGGAAGGAGTTTTTCATGCCGAGGAAAACTTCAGCACCTCTATGTTTTCTCTATTTAAATCTCAAATGCTTCTTAATTCCCTGCAGATTTCCCTTTGAGAGCTCACCCCGGGGGTGGCAGGCTGGGTGAGGAGTTCTCTGTCTGCCCATCTCACCTGCAGAGCCCAAATGATTTGCTTAGAGCGCTTCCCTGCCTTTAAATAGCTAAAATTACCCGAGATGAAGTCCTTCCTAAGAGAAAGAACCACCATCCAACCAGCCCTGGTGGCCTCCTTGCCCCTTTGGCTGTCAGAGGATGGGAGGGAGACCAGTTGCTTGGGTTCAGGATGATTTCAGTCACCTCAGAGCAGATCTCGCAGTGGGATGAAGTGAAGCAGGTGAGGTGCTGGTGGAGACTTGGCAGGATGATTCCTCCACTGAACACCTGCCCTTGGCAAGTGGCAGGGACTGAGAGGAAGGAAGACAAAGCAGGGAAGAAAGAAAACTTCCAGTGCCAAGGGTGAGCTCAGAGTGAGTTCTTGGGGCTCTCCCTCCATCTCTATTTACCTCCACGTGCTCTGGCCAAGCAAAAGCAACGTGTTTGTCCCAGGGATGTCTGGGGACAGGAGCTTTGCAGGGTGGATGGGGATGTCCTTGAGTCCCTCCCTCTCCTCGGCTTCCTCCTTTCCAAGGCCTCCCATGTTGGTTTTTCTCGTCCTATTTCCCAGGAAAAAAAAAGTTAGTCAGTCTGTCCAGGTAGTAAACTTCCCTCAGCAGTGATGCTGAGCCTTTCAGCAGCAGATGGTTTCATTCAAAAAGAGTGGCCATGAATCCAGAGAGATCCAAATTCCAGTGAACACAGACTTCTGATACATGTTCATTTTACCCCCACTGCCTTTCTTTCCTGAGGAATGCAGGGCTCCTTTATCAGCTGCTTTGGTGGAATGGGTGCTCTGGGAGAACAGGCTTTGCCCAGTTTTCCACTTTCTGAGCGTGAGATCGAGCTTGTTATTTCTTTGATTAGTGAAAAATACCCAAAAGTATTAAAAAGAAAGGGAATCACACTAGAGGAAAATGCACAGAGGGATGTGAGTTGTACTACATCTGTACCCTGTGGTCACGCTGGAGTTGAAAAACCATAAATCAAGTAAAAACGATGCAGTTGTGACGCTGGGAATTCCAGGTAAAGTATTCCTTTTGGATCTCTTTCCCCTCTGTGCTGTAAAAATCTCTTTTGCCTCCACTTAGAGCTTCTCCCTGTGCCAAGGGGGATTTGGTGTGGAGTGCAAGAGCAAAGCACGTGGCAGAAACCCACAGAGGGTGAAGTTTATGCAGAGAGACGAGATCTGCGTTGCAGATGCCAGTGTAGGACTTTGCCCTGAAAATCCTCCATACATTGAGAATCAGTGGAGCTGTACTAACAAACCACAGATATTGGGTGATTTGGGGGGTTGCATGCAAGTCACAGCTTTTGTTATTATTATTTTTTTCAGCCTGTGACTGCCAAAGGACAGCAGGGGAGCAGAGCTTGTGGGTCTGGAGCGCTGTAAGAGAGCAATTCTGTTAAACCCTGTAACCAATTTTTGCTGGTCATCTGCAACTCCCATTGTCTTTGGTGGTTGTTATGGGTGCTGAAGAGCTTCTGGAAGTCTGAGGCACTGGTTACTATTCACTCAAATTAATGCAACTTAGTCCTTGAAGCTTCTTATTGGGAAAGCTTCTGACAGGAACGATGATTCCATGAAGGGTGGCTCTTGGATCCCTTGTTGGGTCCTTTCAAAGTGAGACAAAGATCCAGAATGATCCACAGGACAGAGCAGAGTGATGGGTATGTTATGGGTATGTTTTCTCTGTCAAAGATCATGAACCACATTTTGCTGCCTTTGGCATTAATCCCCAGTAATCTTGGTGGCTCCAAAGGAATTGTTCTGGAGATTCCTGTGTGCAATCGAGGACAGAAACTGAGCCAGACACAAAGGACATAAAATCAGTTCCATGATTCAGAGCTGGTGTGACAGAGATGACAGTGCATTTTGGGGTGGCAGTAGAATAAATGGATGAGCCTCCAGGGATTGCTGGACCTTGGAATGTTGTCATGTTGGGCTGGGCGGCACCAGGCTGACTAATGCAAGTGGGTCTCAGCCCACTGCAACCAACCTTGTTCTTCTCGTGTCTTCTCATGACATCTTTACATCCACATCCATTTCCCATGTTCTGCCCTTGAAACCTCCCAAGAGCCACGTCCTGTCTGAAACATTTTCAGTGTGAGACTCAGAGTTATAACATTGGTTGGAGAGATGATGCTTTCCTCCAGCAAACATCCCCGAGGAAATTTTCCTGGTCAAAATAGGCTTGAAATGTATCCTATAGAATTAGATGGAATTCAGGTGAAATCCAAAATAAAGCTCTGCAGATCTCGCTGGAGGGTATCCACAACGCTTTTAAAGTGAGAAAGTCAGCTCAAGAAACACAGAGTAGCTGC